AGGCTAATCAGGGCAGGAGAGACACAGTCAGGGAGGCTGGGGCGGATCATGACAGTACCCCCCCCACCCCCCACCCCCCCCCACCCCACCCCAAGGGGCGGATACCAGACGCCCACAAGCCACAGAGCACAGGAGACACAGGGATGAACGAAGACCAGACTAGGGCACACAAGACCAGGGCACACGGAAGACGAGACCAGGGAACATGGAAGACGAGACCAGGGAACAAACACAGTCCAGGGCTGCGGAGCAGGGGCCTCTAAGAATAGGCGGCACTCCGTCTTACGACCAAACAAACGTGTCCACGAACTTAGACCAGGGAAACTCGGACTCGAAGACTTGGACCACGAAGACTTGACTTGGACACGAAGACTTGACTTGGACACGAAGACTTGACCACGAAGACTTGACTTGACCACGAAGACTTGACTTGACACGAACACTTGACTCCTGGAACACAGGACACCAGGAGAACAGACAAAACTGCAGCAGCAGGCGTGGGACCCAGCAGGAACTGCAGCAGCAGGCATAGGCCCCAGCAGGAACTGCTGCGTGGAGAACCTGCAGGTACAGACCCTGCAGGTGTGGACCAGGAAATGGTTGAGCAGCGGGAGCGACGCGTAGAAGCCCAGCTCGGCGGCAGGTACTCGACATCCCAATCAGAGCAGGTGCACATCCCGATCTGCTGGGTCCATCTGCAGAGGCTCGGGTGAAGGGAAGCCGGAGAAGAGCGGGGAGACCAGCCCTACCACACCGGAGAATAATGGCGTGCGTAGGGGGTGTAATTCCCATGAGGCTCCAGGATCCGCGGCTTCCAGGAGGCGAATGGGACGGGGCTAAAACAGCTGAAGGAGAATGACCCTGGCCACCCCGAAGATAAATAGGATGCGCCAGGATCTCCCAGAGGACTTCGACCACCCCGAGAACAGGTAGGATGCACCGAACACAAAAACTCCAGGCCAGAAATCACCCTCAGCTGAAAGGGAGAAAAAAAAAACATAATCCTCCAGAAGCAGGTGTGTTAGCTCACCACAGGTCCAGGTTTGGTTGGTTCATTCTGTCATGTTCTGCGGGTGGAGGTGGCAGACCATGTGTGGTGGTGGGTTCCAGGAGGCAGAAGATCAGGCAGACGGATGTAAAAAATAAAAAGATGTTTATTGTAGGACGGGAGCAACAGGACGAACGAACATGCACAAGCGACAATGAACCGACAAAGACAACAACCAGGAGGGAGGTATAAATACACAAGGGAATCAGGAACACATGGGCAGAGTAATCAGGGACAGGTGAGAACAATAAGGCTAATCAGGGCAGGAGAGACACAGTCAGGGAGGCTGGGGCGGATCATGACAAAACAATATTTAAAAGTCTTCCTCTGTCATTCACCTTGTGGTTCCGAACTGCCCGTCTCACCGCGTTTGAAACAGAGCTTTCAGTCACTCTGCTCCTCGACTCTGGAACTCATTTCCTCCTGACATCCGAAACACAGACTCTATCCTCTCATTCAAATCCAAACTTTTAACCCACCTGTTCAAACCAAGCCCCCACAATGCGGCTCTAAAATTGGTCCCAACCCGGAAGTACCAAAAATTGCAGTTCCACCCTCATCCGCTGGGGGCTGGTATCAGAAGCGAGCAAATCCTCATTGACTCCCATGTTAAAAATGCCAATTTCACAGCAGAAATAAACATGTTTACAGCCTGGTACCAAAACATGTTTTTGGTTTAAATGATCTAGTTTACACTCATGACAACTCTGAGGGGGGTGAATTTTTTTCTCTCTCTTCTGTTTAAGTGTATTAAAAGCCTAAAATTCTGTATAATTAATGAGCATCTGACCCACGTGACCACAGAGCTAGCTCTGTAGAAAGGCCTCAGTAGAGCCTCGGTCTGGCTTGGAAACTGCTCCGGGATTTTGAGTCTCTGTGTTTGTGTATTCTTTTTTGGATATTTTTGTGCAATTGTTGGACAAAATGACTTGCTGTGGCATTAATTGCACTAATAGAGCGTCCAAGGAGTCTCCACTTCATTTTATTCGGTAAGTAAAATTATATTTATGTATTTTAGGTCACTGCCTAGCTGAGCTTAGATTTTAACATGTACTGTTTAACCATGACATTTAAATGTAATAGGGTAAAACCCAGTGCATTTAACATAATGCTGCACTTTAGAAAATGGGTTGAAATATAACATGTTGGTGGAGCTGGGTTCCGACTATCGGCTTGTGGAGCTCTCGGGAGACCGATGTTTTCCACCCGGAATGCCTGCTGTTTCTCCCCGCAGCCCGGTCCATCTCTGTCTGATCGCGACTTCTGTTAGCTGCGTGGGCTGATGGCTGGTTCTCCCAGCAGCTCGGCGCATCTGTCTTATCGCGGCCTCTGTGTGCTGCGGCGGGCCGACGGCTGGTGGAGCTCTGGGATGGAAACCTTTCCACCTGGTTCTCCCCAGTGGCAGCTCTGCGCATCTGTCTGATCTTCTGTGTGCTGCGGCGGGCTGACGGCTTGTGGAGCTCTGGGATGGAAACCTTTCCACCTGGTTCTCCCCAGCGGCAGCTCTGCGCAGCTGCGCTTGTCTGCTGTGCAGCTGCCGGCTTGTGGAGGTCTCCGAGATCTCTGTGTTCCATCCGGTTTTACCCAGCGGTCAGCCCGGCGTATCTCTGACTCAGAAGCTCTGGTGTTGTGCACAGTTAACTCCGGTTGTAGCTTGGTTGCTACCTCCGTTAGCTTAGCTCCCACCTCCGCATTAGCTTTGGGTTAGCTTCAGGTTAGCTTGTAGCTAGTTCGACCAGGTGTCGTCAGTTGATCCCAGCCTAACAGCCCCACCCTCAGCTCCTCCTCTCTTCCCTTTTATGGAATTGTCTGGGCTTGATGGAACCTGTGACACGGTCAAAATGGCGGTGGTGGCCACCTCCCATTTTAGCACAAAAACTTGTTATTGGAGTCTATGGAAACCCATTGTCCATATATTAATGTCGATGGTTCAAACTGGTTTGCACTCTCTAGTCCACAAACTCTCCACTCTGTAATTTACAATATATTCTTTGTAAAGCTATAATTGAGATTATCTTATTCTTACTTTTCTTGGAAGTTTTATCATGTTTTTGTGAGGTGACCTTGGGTTTTGAAAGGCACCTATAAATTAAATGTATTATTATTATTATTAAAGAAAATAAATAACCTGAAAAGGGTTTACAATTGTGTGGATTTTTTTTGTAGATTTTATCAATATTTAAATTAGTAAATGTTCAAAATCAATTAACAAATGTGTTCATGATCATTTAGTTAATCATTTATAAATCACTGGTGCATCATAATCTTATATTTTATATTATAAATGTTACCACAGCCTCTTAAAATGAATTGTATATATTACCTAATACCTTGTAAATGATCTATTAATCACTTACCAAACACTTATAAATGTTTAATAGCAAACATTATTATAAAGTGTTATAAATAAATAAATAAATAAATAAATAAATAAATATCCAGTGAATAAACTGTGATGAGTGGGTTTAGGTCAAAGTCAAATCGCAAGTTTCAACAACAACAACGTCAAATATTACATTCAGAAAACTGAATTCTGTGATGTTGGTGATGTGGAAAGAAATGTCAACCCATGACTAAAGATAACAAATCTATAAGAACACATGTAAAGATTGTCTGGCGTTGTGAAATTCAAATTTTCCAAAACAACAAATGTCACCAAAAAGAAAGTCAAACCAGTAGGAATCTGGATGTTCTTTAAGGTGAAAACAAACACCAAACCTCACATTTATAAAATGTAAATATGAACATTAGACGCTTGAATCGGGGGTTTCCACTTTCAGGGAATACCCATGTTTTTTCTACTTGAATCCAAAATTTGATGTTGATCTCAGAACAGTGTTGCCAAATCTGCAGAAAGGAAAGTTATTTGAAAAGTGGTTATAAATTATTATAATTTTAATATCATCAAGCACATGTATGCAGCATTAATAAATGCTGTGGGATAGAGGAGTACTTATCGAGCAAAAATGGTTCATCTCCTGTTTCTTTTCCTTTCATATATCTCAATCTGAACTCTGCTCCATGAATTCTAGACACAGGGGGGTGAGGTGGTGCCTGCTGGGCAGCCTGCGAGTGCTTTGTGTCACGTTTAGGAGAGGAGGTTGGACCCAGGATGCAGAAGTACCCAGAACGACTCAAAGGCAGGAGAGGTTTAAAGAAAAACAAGTCCTTTATTTAAGGAGGATGTGCTGAAAAGTCCAAAGCAAAAAAATAAGACTAATACGCAAAAAAAACCTTGAAAACTCAAAATTAACTAAGCTCACACAAGAGCAGGGGCTAGGAGAGATTTGAGAGGGGAACGACCAACGCAACACATAAGACAATGACCCAACAAACACTGAAGGACAAGCTGGGCTTTTAACACAGTGGAAAGCAATCAGGGGAACAGGTGACAGGTGAAATCAATTAACTAAATGGTAAGGGAAAACCAAGCAGAGGGGAAGATAACATAACCTATAAAAACACTACATAACTAAACCTAGAAACTAAGGGCCAAGATAAACAACTAATGACAAGAGGAGTAAGGAAGACTCATTAACAAGTGGGGAAGGACACAAACACTAAAGGGAACAAATCAAATGAAAAGCTGAACCTATAGAAAATAAAACTACAGAGGGGTGACTGGAGAGACCTGAGAAGCTGGAAAACACCAGGAGGAACATGAGGAGAACACAGAGGACAAACAGGAGGGGGCTGGGGACCAAGGGGACACAGAACATGACACTTTGGGGATTGGGGGAGGGGCCCGAAGCAGCTTCCATAGTTTATTGAGAATGATGCTTTTACGTCAACACCATCGTGAAATCACGGAGGCAAGGGCAGCCTGATGCATGAATACTTACCCTCCTCAAAGAAAAAGGTATTTTCCACCAGTTTGGGAGTAAAGCACAAACATCACCGGCATCTAGACACATGCTGTTCAGCTGGCTCGGAGATATAGAGGAAGACAAGATTGTGTCAAATTCACATATCTTTATAAGACAGGACAAAATGGAAAAGGAGATCGTCTGATTGTTTGAAGACATTTTCTTAAGAGAGTCACATTAATACAAAGATCTATCATGGAATACTAGTATTTTAAATACTGCAGTTGTTATACCACATTTTTATATTTTGTAACATGTGTACATGGTAATAAGCCAACTTTGCTTCAAAAAGTGTTCAGTTAGTTCATCCAAAAAAAGAAAAGAAAAAAACGTATTAAACAATATTCAACTCACCATGAAAGGATTACAATACCCTGCAAATGCTCACGGCCTGTTTCATAATGTCTTTAAGCGTTATCTTTACCACAAGAGAATACACACAAACTCAATACTTTGGGTAGCTCAATGGATGTGATTCTGCCTGTCATATAAAACACATGAACTAACCGAAAGCTCATTAATGCTTTACACAGTCCCGAGGAGAACAGAGACAACACTGTGATTCTATGAGGAGGATCCATGCGAAGAGAAGATGTGCAGAGAGACCCTCTGAAATGTTTGACACAATATGAAATAAAACATTTGCCTGAGGTTTGTCATTTATTCTAAAATTAACTCGTTTTATGAACTTAACATGTCTTTTTTCAGAAGCTGCTCCTTTAAAATTAATACATTTTAGTTTTACAGAAGTATTTAATATGTACCTAGAAAAAAAAAATAAATAAAAGCATTTGCCGTTATACCACACAATTGGTGGGTCCACTTAAGTGATTTCCATGTGAGGTCACAAACTGGCACACGTTACCTGCATGTTTGGTGGTACGTTTCCGATTGTGATGGAAGATATTTTTAATCCAAGCAGCAACAGCAGGTGTACAACACTCATCATCACTTATGAACAGCTGAGAGAAAAGCAGGGTACCAGAGAGGAAATGGTAACTTTACTTAATGTTTCCCTTTTTTTACAGTAAAGTAAGAAGACTGTGAATGTACCAAGGAGTTACACAGGTGCGGTTTATGCTAATATGCTAGTTTGCTTTCTTGCAGAGTTGAACTAAAGGAGTCATCTGGCAAAGGAATGTTGGTACCTCTTAGGCGTGTTCATGCTGTGTCGTGGTTCTAATTCCATGCTGTCGTTCTTTTTAAAACACAGAAACAGTTTCGTTACCTGTTTTGTCGCTACGTTTCGCCTGTGGCTGCAGATTTCCTCAGGCTGACGCTGATGGTGGCGTCACTTCCTTCTCCGTTTATCTGCGGGCAGCAGAGGACGTTGTCGCCCTCTACTGCCCGCTCTCCCCTCTCCGACGATGCAGTCCCATGCGTGGTCCAACGAGTAAACTCCATCGTCCCTGTTCATGGTCCCACATCCACGTCTCCTTATCTCGATTGCTTCTTTTATCCATCTTTTGTATTTTTGTTGTTCGGTGTTTACGATCCTTGTGTTGTCCCAGTCCATTATATTGTTTTCTCTTGTGCAGTGGTTTTGGTTCTTGTCTTTCTGGGTTTCTGGTTCTTTGCTTAGGTTGTTCTTTTCTTTCTGTTTTTGTTTGTCGTTTTCCTTTGTTTATTGCCCATGTCGGGTATCTGCAGGTCTTTAAAGCGTGTTGTATGTGTTTGTCCTCTTGTTTACGGTCTATTTCTTCTGTTACCATGTTTGTTCGGTGATATAATGTTCTGATTACTGACATTTTGTGTATGGTGGGGTGCTCTGATGTCCATAATAAATATTGGTCTGTGTGTTGGTTTCCTGTATGTGTTTATGTTTAGGGTCCCGTCAGTCTGCCTGGTGATTTTCATGTCCATAAATGCTATGCTGCCTTCTGTTTCTGACTCAAATGTGAACTTTATGCTGTCTGTGTCATCAATGTTGTTTAAGTGTTGTGTTAGTGTTTCTGTTTGTCCTTTTGGTATGATTTCCAGTATGTCGTCTACGTAGCGTTTCCATAGTTTTATTTTGCAGTTTGGGGGGGCGGTGGCTATGGCTTTTTGTTCCAGGTCTTCCATGAAAAACTCGCACAGGGTGGCTGATAACGGGTTACCCATGGCGAAGCCTTCCAGTTGTTTGTATATTGTGTTGTCGTATGTGAAGTAAGTGGAGTTAGCTACCAGTCCTATCAGTTGTGCTATGTCGTCTGCTGTGAGGTTTGTTCTTTTGTGTAAAGTCTTGTCCTGTCTGATTCTGTTAACTACTATGTCTATGGTTTTTTGGGTTGGTGTTTTTGTGAACAGAGATGTGACGTCATGTGAGATGAGTATGTCGTTTTCTTCTGTTGTAATTTCCTTTAGTTCTTTTGCCAGTTCTATGCTGTTTTTGCAGTGTTGATCTGTGTTCCCTAATAACGGGCTGATGATTCTGCTGATATCTTTTGCCATGTTGTATGTTGGTGTACCTATGCTGTCAACTATTGGTCTAAGTGGGGTGTTTTGTTTATGTATTTTTGGTGTTCCAGATATTCTTGGTGTTACCATACACAACAGTTAGAAACAGACTAGTGACCCAAAAGACAAAATATCAGCTGGACTTAAATGTGGAGTCGTTTACGAAATCCCATGTAAACTCTGCAATAAAACATACGTAGGAGAAACCGGACGCCAACTCAACACACGAACAATAGAACATAGAAAGGAGTGCGAGAAAGAAGCAAGTAGAAAACACACAAGAGCAGCAAAAGAAGAAGCAGAAAGTACAATAAAGAAGTCAGCCGTAACAGATCACTGCACAAGAGAAAACCATGTAATGGACTGGGACAACACAAGGATCGTAAACACCGAACAACAAAAATACAAAAGATGGATAAAAGAAGCAATCGAGATAAGGAGACGTGGATGTGGGACCATGAACAGAGACGATGGAGTTTACACATTGGACCGCTCATGGGACTGCATCGTCGGAGAGGGGAGAGCGGGCAGTAGAGGGCGACAATGTCCTCTGCTGCCCGCGGATAAACGGAGAAGGAAGTGACGCTACCACCAGCGTCAGCCTGAGGAAGTCTGCAGCCGCAGACGAAACGTAGCGACAGAACAGGCAACAAAACTGTTTCTGTGTTTTAAAAAGAACGACAGCTTGGAAAGTTGGTACCGACAGGTGAATACTGCTAGTTCTACAGTGTCGGCTGTTAGCTTAGCACACAGGTTAGAACCATGATGACTGTTATTCCTTGTAGCTTAGTTAGCACTCTTGGATAATTAAACAGAGTTAGAGCTAGAGTTAGCTTCTTCACAACAGGCCCACAGAAATCGCACAGTGAAGAAATCTTTGACGTTGTACTTTATAGCAAACAGGGCACTAAATGACTTTCATATAAATGCTATGGTTTAAAAAACAACAATAAAATAACGGAAAGGCAGCAACGGTACTTCGGTGCATTTAGTTCTGTTGAATTTTAGCCATTTCTGCAGGTGGCTGTTTTTCAGAGACTTTCCCTCACATTCACACACACACACACACACACACATTCACACACACACACACACACACACACACACACACACACACACACACACACACACAACACACACACACACACACACACACACACACACACGCATGTGTGCAAACACACATAAACACACACATATGCACACATGTGTGCAAACACACCTGCACACACAAGTGATATAGAACATTTTGGGAAAGCTTACACTGTTCAGCTAATTGGCATTTCAGTTTTCCATTAATATGTTTTATAGCTTCAGTGTGTTAATTAGTTGCAATAACTAGTAGTACCAGTAAAAACTATGGTTAGGTTTAATAATGGCCTGAGAGCGTAGACTTAAATGCATTCAGTTTGCACAATCTTGTCAAGTCATCAGTGAGAAAAGTAGAAATGTCCTAAAACTCTCCAGAAGATGCTAAATGTCATCATCGCCTAATTTGCATGAGTGGTGTGGAAATGTGATTTAAATGAGGAAAAAAATGTCTTAAATATGTTTAGAACTAGAGGTTGAAGTGTGATGCAGTGGTGAGCGCTGTTGCTTTGCAGCAATAAGGTTCCGGGTTCCAATCCCTGCCTGCGGCCTTTCTGTAGAGAGTTAGCATGTTCTCCGTGTGTACGTGCGGGTTCTCTCCAGGGACTCCGGTCTCCTCCTGAAATTATGACTGTCCGGTTAATTGGTCCCTATAAATTATAGGACAGCAGCAGTTTGGAAGGTAGAGCGAGTTGTCCAACAATTGGAAGATTGTAGGTTCGATCCGGGCTCCCATCAGAGAATGCTGCTGTTGTGTCCTTGGGCAAGACACTTATCCCTCCTTGCCTGCTGGAGGGGGTCGGAGGGACTAATGGCGCGGATGCTCTGCCGGTGCACCCCAGGGCAGCTGTGGCTACATCGTAGCTCATCATCAGTGTGTGAATGTGTGGATGACTGACTGTGTTGTGAAGAGCCTTGGGGGGTGGTAGAACCCTAAAAAGGTGCTATACAAATACAGCACTTCGTTGTCTTATGATGAACTAGCAACCAGGGTTTTGTTCTCTAATGTCTCAGTTCCTTTAAAAGTCTCCAGTTTTAACAAAGTTTCTAGATGTCCTTTGCAAATTTCCTTTGTAAATGTTCGTGAGGTCGGAATAATCACGAAATACTGAAATAGTGCACAAGCCAAAGTGAGAGGTGTGCAGACTCAGGAGAGGTCATCATAAAGCTAAGACAAAAAAAAAATCAAATGTGAGAATCATGCACACACAATCACCCCTAAGGTCAGGAAGTATTGATATGAAACACGCGTGTGTTTAGACTGTGAGAGGAAATGAGAGAAAACCCACACACGCATGAGGAGAATAACTCCAGACAGAAGAGCCAGAGCTAACTAAGATTTAAAGCCTGACCTTCACCTGGTCAGGTGACAGCGATGGCCACCGCTCTATCATGCAGCTGTGTCAACGTCAGTTTGTTTTTAAAGAATTTAAAACAGCACAAGTAATACCAAAGATGGATCCAGCCACATTTAGAGTTTATCACCAGATCCTGAAAAGCCTTACCCCTATGTCACACTGGAGGCATCAGCAGCGCGAAGAGCAGCAGAAGTTTGCTGCGCGCCAGTACACACTGGGAAAATCTCCGCCACGAAGCGTCCTCGCTGCCTTCCTCCTCGCCATACTCGCAAGATCACAACATCTCTTGAGACTTCAAAGGTCACAGTTTGTTTATGCCATCCACCATCAAACCAAAAAGGAGAAATCCCGTTTGATGTCGTATATAACTGTTCCTCTCCACTGCCAGGATTAAAGCCACGAGGAACACTGTTGCACTTCTAAAGCAATACTGGGAGTAAATAAGTCGTTAGGTCACTGGTATTGATGTTTTCGACATAGGTATGAAATCGCATTGCTGCGACAGTCTTTTATTTTGAAAGGTACCAACGTTTTTACAGTGAAAATATCTACATCGCGTCTGGTTGAAACACCCCCAAAGGCTAAAAACGATTCTGTTTGAAGCAGTGATGTTCTGCGGCCGTTCCACGCCGCAGAGGCTTCCAGTGTGAGGTCGGGTTGAAAGCACCAGATTCTGTTATTATTTATGAAAAGGAGAGGAGAGGATGAGGCTGTCCATCTTACTGGTTGTTAATGCACTTCAAAAGTTCCTTCAACCTAATTTAGCGACTAAAAGCAGCTGAAGGAGTTTGATTAACTCTTGGTAAAACATTTGTTAAATGACCAAACCCAAAAGAAAAATGAATCCGTGTTTCTGTGGATATGAGCACCACTGTTATCATAAAGGAAATGTAAAAAGGCTAACTGCCCCCCCCCGTTTGCCCGTTTGTGTTGTGTATGTCGTGACATTCAGGATGTAGCCGCAATACATATTTATTATAAACAACCTGCTTTTAAAACTCACTGCAAGAAAGCAAATAGTCATACTGCACAAAACATCAAACTCCTCCTTTAAAGAGGAAACACAGCTGCAGCTCACAGATGATGAATGCGCTCTCCGCTACAAAAATGTTTTCTTTAGCAGTTTCACACCAAAAAGCTTGAAGATGACAAATCGTGTGTTAACGTTTCAGGGGTGTGGTGTGAGATATTACTTATCAACTCATTATTCCTTCTATAGCAAAAGCAAATGAACTGGAAAGTGAAGGCGAGGTTTCGGCACCTCTTTGGAAAGTGCCGTGTTGAACCATGGCTCTGAGTCATCCCACCGTCTCAAGTCTGTGATTGGGCGTTGGCGGGCTGCATCAACTCTTCTCACCACCGGTCACCACATCCCATAACTTCACCAGCACTGACATGGGTCAGTCCCCAACGGAAACCTCCACAGAGTCAGGATGAAAACACAGACCATAGCTTAATACTTTAGCAACCCAGATCACAGTCAGAAAAAGAACCAAAGTAACATCCAAAAAAAATAAGTTAACATAATTCTGACACATAGAATTTTACAAAATGTACATTATTTTTAAATTAAAATAGATTTGTCAGTTGTCTGATTGGGAAGGTCCTCCATGGAGCACCGCTATTCTCCTGCCGGTCAGTCTTGTCACAGTTCCTTCCAATAAAACCTCAGTGCCAACCAATCAGAGAGCGAGTAAGGCTTCCGTCTCCAGTCCCTGCCAAAAGTTTGTTGGTGGCGTCTCCAGACAGGGCCAAGCCCTTAGCAACAAAAATGGCAGACCCTTTAACACCTTGACTAAAAGAAATAAATATAAAATATATGTAATATTTCTATATATATATATATTCATAAAACCAAAACCAGGAAAGATTTAGACTCTGATGCGTTTTCTCCACATCGTCAAACTGTGGCCATCCTCCTATTCCCAGCCCACTTCCCTTCCCTGTCTCTCTCCACTTTTCAGTTTTTTTGCAGTTTTTCAAGGAAAAAAAAAGTTTTCTTCAAACATGTACATCTTTTACGCACGTAAACAAAATGTAAAAGTGTGTGTGTGTTTTCATTTTTTTTGTATGTTTTATCCACTATATCCAAAAGTGTTGCAGGCACTTAAGTCCCTCCCAAACAAAGCAGGTGTTATTCGACAGTGGATCAGGTTGGTTTGGTTATTCCTGGATTCATGTGGGTCGTTCGGTCACGTGTGTCTCTGTCGATCTATGTCTGCTGACCAAAAGGCCATCCAGGGTTGCTGCTAGCCCAGGATGTCCAGGTAGACTGGGGTGGCTTTTCCCATGGCGAACAGGACCTTCTGAATGTCCTTAATGTTCAGTCGTTGCTGCGGTTCCCTCTGCCAGCAGCCCAGCATGATGTCGTAAACCTCCTTAGGACAAATCCGTGGTCTCTCCAGCACCCGGCCCTGGGTTATGCACTCAATAACCTGCAGAGGAGAAAGAGCAGTGGAGTGAGACAGAGGAGATTCTCACTGACTGATTGCTTTGCTTTGTTCATAATGAGAAAGTGGTGACACACAGCAGATTGCCCTTTGAGGTTTGAACTAATGAAACTGAGATGAAAGAAATAAACAGAACTCATTCAGTCCTAAAACTGTGAAATATAAAAGGGGAAACAAGCTTGTTTTCTGTCCCACAGCAGAGAATAACCACAAAACTGTGTGTGTGTGTGTGTGTGTGTGTGTGTGTGTGTGTGTGTGTGTGTGTGTGTGTGTGTGTGTGTGTGTGTGTGTGTGTGTGTGTGTGTGTGTGTGTGTGTGTGTGAAAGCCTGATAGATCATTTCTTTGTTGGGCTTGTGCACCATGTAGCATCACGGAAGGTCCTCTAATTTGTGGCAAAGGTCACATTTACCCAGCTGGGTCAAGCTGGGTCAAACAGTAACTTTCAAGTCCACAGATTAACCCAGGAGTCATGATGTCTGCTGAATATCACCCATTATCTGCTGCTGTTCCGACCCAGAGGAAGGACACTTCAAGTTCACGATAATAATTAAATAATAATATTAATAAACTATTTGACTTTATTACTATTTATTATAATCATCATAAATAATCACTTGGTTCAGTATAAATGTATTTTTATTTACTGAAATGAATTATTATGCTTTGGGTATAAGATGATTATGGTTGATTCAATTCAATTCAATTCAAGTTTATTTATATAGCGCCAAATCACGACAAGAGTCGTCTCAAGGCACTTCACATAATAAACATTCCAATTCACAGTTCATTAGGCCAATCAGAAATAATGTTTCCTATATAAGGAACCCAGCAAATTGCATCAAGTCACTGACTAGTGTCAGAGTCTTTACAGCAATCCAAAATAAACTTTTGCTAAAATTTAATTATCTTAAATTAAACATTAATCTTTGAATTAAAAATAGACCAAGTGAATTGGTGTATGAGCTTCTATTGATTATATAAGTATAATATATATTATTTATTGTATTTTGTAATGTTTTTGTTTTTATTGCATGGTGCATATTGCACTTGTTTTAGCTATTTTTCTTAGTATTTTTATCGGATGCCTAATGTGGAGCTCTAGGAAATTTCGTTGAATGGACAATCATTTAATGACAATAAAGGATATCCATCCATCCATCCATCCATCCATCTATCTATCTATCTATCTATCTATCTATCTATCTATCTATCTATCTATCTATCTATCTATCTATCTATCTATCTATCTATCTATCTATCTATCTATCTATCTATCTATCTATCTATCTATCTATCTATCTATCTATCTATCTATCTATCTATCTATCTATCTATCTATCTATCTATCTATCTATCCATCCATCCATCCATCTATCCATCTATCTATACATGATATAAGCTCATATGCTCGGTCATTCTCAGAATCTAACAACTGATAGCAAACAGTGTTGACTCTAGTATGTAGTTAACTCTACAATCAATTAGCCAGACGATCCATTGTTGTCATGATGATTTGACTTAAATTTTCATGCCATTTTCTGGCCACAGTAGCGCGACAACACTGATAAGAATCTGTAGGGTGATTATTGACTGTGTGCATGGAAAAGCTGTGCTCAAACTGAGGCGATTTAAATGTTAACAACATATCGGAAGAACAGAATGAAAAGTCTCCTCATCAAGCAGTTCATGATGTCATGCACATTCAAATCAGCACAAATTACCTGACTGATATCGGAAGTCTGATTTTCATTTTTAAGTGGAATAACTTTAAATAAATATGATTGTACTGTGATAATTACACACGTGTGCTCACAAAAGTAAATATTAGGATGTATATTTATATTGATATAACCTTTTTTATGTTCTACCACCAAAGGAAGACAGAAATTGCTAAACGTGGAACTGTCAGGAGTTGCAGGATGGAGGATCACATAGAGCCTCTTTGCATAAATCCCTCAATAACAAGCAGTAACATGAACCAGTACTGGATGCTGTGGTCTCCTGGCAACAGCACCAAACTCCACAGAGCCACAGACTCTCTGACATTGCAGCTGATTTACAAGCTTTATTACTGGCTATTCTGCATGGTAGCTTTGGTTGTTAGCTTTTATCACACTTAGATGTATTTTGATGTTTGCAGAATCAGCAGAGGTACTATTCTGTTATGCAACAGTAAAGACTGACTGGACACGGGTGGTCTTTGCAGACTTCATCTATTGTTTACTTTCAGTCCTGCTTCACCAACATTCTTGGTCCAAGACCTGCAACTCAACTGTCCAATAACACAGAGGAGAAATCTCCACTATTTCAGCAAATATGTGGGAAAGTGTTTAATAACAAAGCTGTTGGTATGATCTGCATCGATTCACTAGCTACATCCTCACCGTTTTTAATCCGCTTTTCTATAAAACAATGTGTGTTTTATTATTTACAACAAACGTAGCTGGGGCTAATAAATGCTAACCCCATTCAAACAGCTGGGTTTATGTCACTTAATGTAGCTGCTTTTCCTGGAGCATCATTTTAAGTGCATACTGCTCAGTTTAGCTTGCTTTTAGCACCCGCTAGGGCCGGTTATTAATTCATTGTGGTTAAACCAGAAGTGAAACCTATCTCTTCGCTGTGCATTTGTCTTTTTAGCCCCTTAATCTAACAGCTGAAATGTCTCCTCCACCTTCATTAGTTTCTACAGGAGTGACTCATCACTACATTAAACAAATCAGCTCTAAAACATGCAGGAAACATGCTGGAAGCAGACTGCAGCTCCACCATGTCGGCTCCACATCACTCACTGACCCTAACCTTAACCCCCTTAGGGAGTACCCTGAGGAGGGGTGCCCAGGGTAGTTTCTGCTCGTTAAATAACAATTGACAGCTACAGCTCATAAGCATGACTATTCCATATTCCAGTCAGAATTGACAAAGGTCCTCGGATGAGACGTCCAGGTGCCTTCATTTGAACTCTTTTGGAACACCATGGTAGTGTCATCTGATCTTCTCTGTAGGTACATGCTGATTCAATCTGAGACGTGTGGTGCCGGGCAGGGCACAGTGCCATTGCCGGCATATGTGGAAGGATTGTTGTGCAAATGTGCTACTGCCACTCAGATGATGGTGAAGGTGCAGAACAAAAGGACATACCTGTAAAACCTCTTTGTCATTTACTGAAAGCATAGCAGTGTCATTGTTGCATTTACAATGAAAGAAAATTTCCTATCATTTCTGTGATCGACTCACATTTCTATGGAATCTGTAGATCTGAGAGCATAGCGATGTGTTAATGCAGTTCGAAGAGGAAGTAACCCACTGACACAGACGTGTGATGATGCCAAGTTGCTAGGAGATGTAAGAACACCGGACTCGGATCGGTTGTGCGGCCCAAGCAACAGGAAAAATAGAAGGAAATTGGACAAACCGGACATTTTCTACCACAACTGCAACACTCAGGTGGGAATTCTGCTTTCTTTTGTTTTCTAAAGTAGTTTGAACACATGATTCAGCCTGGTTTATTTCAGATGAATGCCCCTATTGTGACTCTAAATGTCAAACACACTCACCAAATCTGTTGTTGTACATGTAAACATATCCACATGCACGCTACGCAAGTTCTGTCAGACGTTCAGCACCGCTGCACGAGGATACTAATGTATTATGGAAAATTGCAACTCAAAGCTGCTATTTTTCTTTCCCACCTTAAGTTGCACTGAAAACAAACAATTGAAAAAATAATGAAGAAATCAATTGTTTGATAAGGCGTAACAAGTGTGTGCTTGCTGCCCTATAAACACTGCCTTCACGCTTTCTCCTCAGAAATCCTGAAATGAAAGTGCAAAGATCAAAGCAAGTGCACCTTACAGCCACATTAGAGACATTAAAGCATAACAGTCTGGGTTGAATTAGATTATTTCTTGCGGGTATTTTGTTGTGTCTGTCTGGCAGTGAATAATGGCCAACCAACACCTGCTATTGTCAGCTTTATCCTTAAAAATGAAGTGAATACAAGTTGCATTACGCTTTACACAGGCCAAGACTTACTACAGCCTGGGGTTACAGAGGCTGTCAGAGAAGGTGCATGCTAATTTTATGTGCAGCTCTGCAGAGGAGATTGATACAAGCTGTAAAGCCCAGAAGAGAGAAAGAGAGAAGCCTGCTTGTAACAAGTTCTTATAGTAGCTCGGTGATCATTCATCACTTTCACCGAGTCGCTTGTGCCCATCTATAATTGTTGCAGTAATGCATCATTGTATTATGTGTTGAACATATCTGAATAACCCAATATTAAGTTTAATATTCCAGTCAAACCCACTCAATAATAAAATTATATTGAGACAAAAGATGGAAGAGCCTCATAAGAGCACTCGTCTGTAAACACGTGCACAGGTACCGGACACTGATGAGCGTTTCATTCAGTGTCTGAAAAATCCCTCAGAAATGGCAAAATTACCCATTGATCACATGGAGGACTGTTTGTTTTGGTCGACTTCATTTTCTCAACATGTTTGCTTTACTAGAGTAATGCTGATGGAAAATTATTGACATACAATAAAGAAGAATAAGAAGAAGAAAACACGTTAATGGAGGTTTTGTAATAAGCCATATTTCTGTTACCAAAAATAGCATCAAATTATCCCTTCAGCAGGCTGGGGGTTCTCATAGAGAGAAGAACAACACCAGGCAGCGGATTCAGATTCAAAATGGCAGTTATCATTTCCATCTGCTATTAGACACTCAGACTAACACTTAGGTTAAAGGAAACAAAAAAACATCTATGTCTACCCAACCATCCATCCATCCATCCTTCCATCTATACGTCCATCCATCCATCCATCCATCCATCCATACATCCATCCATCCATCCTTCCATCTATACGTCCATCCATCCATCCATCCATCCATCCATCCTTCCATCTATACGTCCATCCATCCATCCATCCATCCAGTGTATGCTTCATTGGCTTGTTTGGGTCTTACCTCGTTGTTACCCAGCTGGAACCACGGCTGCTTCCCATATGTAAAGATCTCCCACAGGATGACTCCAAAGCTCCAAACGTCACTTTCCGTGGAAAACTTCCTGTACATGATGCTCTCTGGGGGCATCCAGCGAATAGGCAGCATGGTATGTCCTCCAACCTGAAGAGGAGGAAAAAACAGGAAAGCAGGGAGGAGAGGTATCTTTTAGACCAACAGGAACTTTTATTTAAAACACTGATTGGGACTTTCAGGCAGCAACACAGCTTGGTAGCATCACTTCAGGGTTAACTGGTCATAGAAGTGAACATGATTGTGTTGTTGACATGTTGAGATAGATGGCCTAAGGGTCGTGATAGACTTGCTGTTTAACCTCGGGTTGGTACAGGCAGCAGGCTGCATCTTTGTGCTCATACTTGCTGCTACATGGAACTGCACTGCATGTCGTAATGGATGTTCCACTAGGGGACACGCTAGACTGCTCCGACCGGAGAGAGAGCCAGGTTTGTGGGTACAACCAAAACAAACATGGCGTCAATTGAAGAGATCAGTATCTGGTTATGCTTTAGGTCACAAGAGAAAAAGAGACAGCAGTGGTATCGTAGATGGTGTGAAAGACCTCTAAACCAGAGATGGTGAGTGTGTCTTGCTTGTTTTGTTTACTCCACCTACCGGTTACTCTTATATTGCAGCGTTCGGACATGTCGCAGTAATTCTGAAGGAAGCGCACAAACAACGCTTCAGATTAATGCAAGTAATGTGTGGCAGCCATTTTAAACATGCGTTGGCGTCATTAAACAGCAAGGATAGCACGGCCCTAGGTCTCCTCCACTTCCGGTCGGCTCATGGGTCCCCGGAAAACAAACAAACAAATTAATGTAAGTGAACGGGCAGCGTTAATTTTGACAAGAAATTTAAATTCAGCTTTAGTCTTTTGACTAAAGTCAACTATTCAACTAAAATATACACATTTTTCTTTTAAGGCAATAATTTTCAACTTGTGTAATAGAAATGTAAACTCCAACTACTTGAATCTGTAAAGAAATATGAACAATTCACATTTCACACTTTAGATCAGTAAAAGTCTATATTTAAAATTGTTTCTATAACAATAGTTATTGGAAAATACCATAATGAACACTGACAGTTAGAAATTGTGCCTTTCAATATTAATAAATTAATGAAATCTGTAAAATGTGCAGTAATATTTGTAAACATGACAGGAAATTACATCATACCATCAAAACATTAAAATTTATTACTACAATGATGCGGAGGGAAACTAAAGGTAAGAATTGTTTTCAAGTGTATTTGTTAGTTTTATTTGGCAGACTGATCAAGGTGGGACACGTTTCTCCTCACAAAAACATAGCTAGAACACCAAACGCTGATCATTAATGGCCGTAACAGCGCCACCAAAATAAAAAAAGGATTAGGCAACAAGGTGCGCGTCGCGCCGCTTCATGAGCTCGGTTTAGTTAGCCGAGCACCAGCACCCAGCCCCCACCCCCTTGCTTGCTGCTAACAACACCGTAACACTTTTATCCACATAATGTTTCATGTTTATTGTTGATAAATGATGATGTTAGCAACATCCGGTGAGAACCGAAAGTAGCGCATACCGCTTGGTTTACATGTCCTTAGACACTTAACCCCTGCCTAGTGGACCTCAAGGGATAAACCATCAGTCCTGCTCAATGGTCAACTTTCCTCGGGGGTCACACCCCTTAGGACAGTGGGACGGTTAACCCAAGCCAGGAATAAGTCAGAAGTTGTGAACATAAAAAAGAAACAGCTGAGTGCATGTAGCTGTGTGAACTATAGCTGCCTGAGTGGCAACGCAAACATAAAGAGTTAAACTCCACATATCATCATAAAAATATCTTTGCAGTCATAAGACTGGGATGTGTGGGATGAAAGCTAACAGTAGAGACAGATGTCAGGCTGAAGCTCTTTGATCCTTTCAAACCGGCCGAACACGGAATGAAGCCTCTCACTGCTGCACACCCTCCGAGGCAGGATATTAATCGATTGAACAGTTGTTCATTAATCACAAGCTTCCATTAGCAGACACAGGTTTTTCTATTTCCTATTTGTGTCAGAGGCTGGTGAGTCTGAGCTGAGCAAACCTGCCGACTGAATGAGTCGTGAGGTATGAATAGAACACAAAGTTAGATGTTGTCAACGTGCTGCTGGAGTTCACTAGCCTGGCAAGCCAGACTAAATAAATGTATTATTTAGTCTGGCCATGCTCCATTGACGGCTCTCGGTTGTGGGGCGGGTTCTAGCGTTGTCTTTCAAATGATCTCTGCATTCCACTGGACAATGAATGTGACATACTCTTGTTTCACTCTGTTGCATCATCCCACCCACCAGGCATATAGAGTGCCCTGATTGGCCCACAAAGCGGATAAAGCTCTGTGATTTGTTCACTAAGCAGCTAGAGCACTATGATTGGCCCACCATTATGGACCAGTCACAGCTCTTTATGTGCTTGAACCCCCTCTAGAGAGCAGTGATTGGCTAGCCAGAGTCCTGGTAGGAGCTGCTGAGGTTCCAATGGAGCATGCCTAGACCAAACTTTGCAAAGCAAGAATTTGGTCTAGTTCACTAGGCTAGGAGTTCACAGGTAACGGGCCCACTGGTACACAGAACTGATAAATGATACTTGTTATCACAAACCAATGAAAATAAGGTCACAGCCTGACTACATGTCCATCTCCCAAAATCTTTTAATGCAGACACAGGAAATTTGATGTCTGAATTCATATTTATGTTGAAAAAAAACAAAAATGGCCCCATCTATGAATTAATTGTGTCGCTCTGATGGTTTACAGAGCTTCTATAGGGTAAAGGTCTGGTACCAACAACACTAATTGCATGGATTTGGTAGTCCAGACACTTCCTGTTGTCTTTCAGGTCCTGCTATCTGGTTCGGTTTTTCACCTTTGGTGTTGTTATCTTGACGCTTTGTTGAGATAAAAATAAGATGGATTTTGAAGTCCCTCTGAGGTTTTTATCTCTAAAGCAGTGAAAGCACTCCTGCAATGTGTCAGACACACGTCCGTCATCAAAACCACCCATCCATCGCAGTCTGCCCAAACACACATCAATCTCTCAGAGCTCATTTTCTGTGCTAAAAGACAATATACAATCAAATCCTCAGCCAGACATGGTGTCACGAACATGTGCAGCGCGAGAGGGTAAATAAACCCTCACGCGGTGTCTCCGATCTGCACCTCAGGGTTACAACACAATCAGATGCATTTAATCATAACAAGCTCTTCTCCAAACTCCATTTGCCAGCTCTGACATCTGCGTGCCTTCAGCTGTGAGTGCTGCGTGGCTTTTTAAGCATCAAGTAAAAAAAAAAGAAATGTCAACTCAAGTATTTCTGATTACCTCCTAGCTCTGTGGTACACATTTCCTCTGAATGATAAACACACACTATCAGTGTGCCAGCTTGATGGAGCAGCTGAATCTCTAAATGTTGTAAAGGTTTTATCAACATATGGGATCCATCCATCTGAAAAAAGGAAGCTCCATCTGGGGCATTCATGTAGATCAGGGGTGTCAAACTCAAACTCACACGGGGCCAAAATGAAACTCTGGGACGGAGTCGCGGGCCGAACTTAATGTTTTTTGAAAAAGTGACGGCAAATTAGCACATTTTCTTTATCAACATATATGCAATTTTGAACCTATTAATTAGGAAACAAACTATTTTTGCATTAACACTGAATGTGGAATAACCAAATTACACACGAGCAAGTCAGTTTTAAATAAAAGGCATCAGTGGTATTCATTACTTGTGGTATATTCAACATATTTAAAATCTATTCAGGATTTATGTTTTCTTGTTTATTCATTTTTCTTATTTTTTATTCTCCTTTTTTTCTCCTGTAATAAGTGTCATCGCTGCTGTGACGTCTAGATTTCCCCACTGAGGAACAATAAAGGGATTTTCTATTCTATTCATCTATCTGCAGCCTTTCCACTTCCTGTTTACTGTAGGTTAAATCTTTTCTCACGGGCCAACAACAAAATAAAAATATAATTTTATCTTAAATGAAAATGCAACATCTCACCTGTTAACTTTCATGTTTTGGAGCAGAAAAAGAGCATAAAACCATCATATTTAAAGCTCAGTTTGCTCCACTGGTTTACTGTGATGCTCACCTGTTCCAGCCAGATACCTGCATCATGGGGTTGATCTGAGCTGAGGAGGAGACTCCTGTTGTTTTGTTCATTTTCATCATAATAACGACAACATTAGATGACAACAGGTGCTCACATAGGTTTGTGCTACTGAACATGGAGAGCATCTGAGCAGCTTGACCACGTTGTTGTGTGTCGGGGAGGAAAAATAAAAACTACAGCAGCCACAGAGTCGTGCTGGTTTGAGCGTGTCGCTGCTCGCTGGAGTTATATCGGCTCTGTCTGGAAGTTAGTTGGAAAACTTTCTCTTTCAGTCGTGAACACATTACTGAGCGGTTAAAATCTCCATTTCTGGGCTTCAACATCGGCAAACAGCTGAGTAAACTCGGCGCTGAGTGAGAGGAGTGTTTAGTTTGACCGAGACAGCGGAGCTGCAGACACCGGCGTTGGTACAGGATCTGCTCGGGTTGCAGGATCGGCTCGGGGTCCTTCGACTGCCGATGACGTCAAAGTATTTGATTGGCTTAACATGAAGCTTACAGAAGTTACATTATCATGTTATGATTTTGATTGGTCAGAACAAATTTGCGGTTGTAGTCTTAGCGGTTGTTGTCCTGTAGTCCAAAAATCAACACTTTTTGGAGAAAATATGTTTGAATTTCTAAAGGAAATGTAAAATATAAGCAAATGATAAATGGTGACCCTCAAAAGCTCTTGATGTTGATGAAATGGGGCAAAATAAAATATAAGAACTTTATTGAAAGATGCCAAGCAAAATTTTGAGTCAAACAATGTATTTAGATAACAGCTAAGGAAATATACAGACGAACATTAATACAAACAGATATGGCTTCACATATAAGAACTGTTCTATTTTTTGTCAGTCCGATGTTGGTTTTATGCAGTTTCACATTCTTTACAAAACAAATTTGGTGTTTTATTAACAAATTACAATTATAAAGAAAACAGGTGTTAACAAACAAGAATGTATTAGCAAAACTGCT